CCGAAGGGCCATGAAGGTGGAGTCACCGGTATCGATACCCTAGCGACTCGCCCGGGTCTTGGTAAACTGATGCAGAACAATCGCTCTCGTGCGCCCCCCAAGCGGAGACGTTCTGATGGTTCTAAAGTAATCGATGCTGACGCGGAAGAGGAGGACGACTTTGAGGCAGATATCTGCGGTGGTGTTGTGGTCTCTACCGGTCGTGACTTCTCTTGTCGTGTGTGGTGCGAGTCTGAGGAACTTTTGGTGCTCGAAGAGGAAGCAGAGCTGGCTCGTGAGGTAGCGGAGGATGAGCAAGAGCTCGTCCGCTCTGAGGCCATCGTACCGGGAGCTGTCACTCCCGAGGCTGGTGAAACTGGACCTCTGGGTCGTCCCACCGTCACTACTCGTAATGCTGTAAGTTTTGCGTCAATTTATTGGAACTCTTGCTAACCATACTTGACGAATAGGCGGATTCATTGATGGAGGCAATAGACATATATACCAGACAAACGCAGAGTGGAAATGAATTGGAACCACCGCATCCGCTGATGGTGGCGTATGGTGTACCCGACGATCCCGACCGCTTTCTTTTCACCATATTCTCCTCTCTTCGATTACCTGCAAGCGGTGGTGTGTCCGGTCTAGAACATGCACTGGGTTGTATGCATAGTGACCACGTAATTCGTCTTCTTCCTCGTTTGGCTGCATGGATGAAGCGTGGATGGGACACGGAACTGTGCGGTCGCGCCCTTCGCTATCTCTGCACCCTCCATGCCGCCCTCGTGACTACTGATACAAATCTAACCTCAACTCTTGCTGCTGTTGTATCTGCCAGACAGTCACATCTCTCACAAACCAAAGTGGGTTATACTTTAAATGCTGCTTTCGCTTTTGAAGCGCTATCACTCACTTGGTTGTTTCTTTTTTCGCAGAGAATGCTTGGGATGAATCTGGCAGCGCTTGATCTCTTGCAACGGAAGATTGAGGAGGAGAACCAGATTTCTGTGTTTGAGGAGGCTACCTCAAGACGTGTGAAGCGCATAAAGAAAATCAAGGAAAGGATCGCGAAGCGAGCGGCCGTTCCTACTGGTTAGGTTTTTATTTAAGATTGCGCCTCATAGGCTTGGGTTGTATGTACTCTTTTGTATTCTACAGATTTGGTTCTGCCTATATACATTCCCTCTTTTTTGAAGAACAATTGTCCATTTTTATGCTCTAAACTCGTACTCTGGAGGACTGCAACCTCATTTCGAAGCAGAAAGTTGGAGGCGATGTTCATTTTTATGATAGAGGCAACCTCCGGCACGTCCGCTTGGGTCAGAACTCGGAGCAATGCTTCATGCTGATTTAAAGCTAGGTAGCAGTTGTCGATGAAAAGGTAGGGCTTTTAATAACCTGCAGTAGTACTTGATGGGCAGTGCTTTTAGTGCAGAGATATTTGGTTGTAAATGCTGTTCGAGATGGGATAAGTCCTCTTTCGATCCTAATTGATTTAATGTCCCACCTTAGGATTGTTTGAGTAGTTGGGCCTCCCACTCGCCGTGGATATTTTACTCGAAAGATTACGAGGATACGTAAGAAGCGAATGATTGAAACGCTAGCCGTTTGCAGTACAAGTGTTTATTCTGTATCACGGTGCCAAGTGGCTTGCTTTGGTCACAAATTGAAAAGAACCAACATGAACACAAGTTGTGGATAAATCATAATACAGGTATGTATTCAGAGCTTGTCAGGCCATACACAGGATCATCTTCGCAGCTCCTTTCGTGTTCGGAGGGTCTGCAAGTGGCAGAATAATGACATTGACTGATTGACATACTAAAGTCAAAGTTATGCATGAAAGGCGGGGCTTTT